AGGGACCAAACTATGTGCAGTGAGCACAATTCCACAATGATGCATCGAGTTTCTGGTAGAGGAGCATTATGCTGGTAATGCAATATTTGTGGCTTGGCTGAAATCCACAGGCACCGTTTGCCTCAACAACAAGCCACTCTTCATTTCACTTCCTCTTCTTTAACCAAGTTCAACTCTATTTTGCTTCTTCCCAAACAAACTAGTATTTATGACAGGAAAATATACAAAGGTCCATGTTTTTCTAACTTCTTCTGAGCCCCTTTTCACAGCCTGTCCTTTACTTTGCCTTCTTTTGACACAACAGTGGTAAATTATCCAAATAATGTCTTCAAGGATGTGATGAGAGACCGTGTTTAAGGGATGCAAGTTAGTATGTTCTGTCTCTATCATATACTCTAGTTCTTTTCTTCTTCCTTGTGTCTGTTTTCCTTGGGGAAAATTAATCTGTTTTCTTCCTGGGCTCACTTTTGTATTTTCCATACAATGTTTGGCAGGCTCCCAAATGACTTTCCTTTTCCCATCCAGACAAGATAGAGAATAATTCCAAAGCTGTGGCCCTGCTTTTTCATCCTTTAAATGCAGTGTGGACTGAGCCTCTAAATTTAGTGACTGCTCTTATTGGATTTAAAAAAAAATCTAATTCGACAGTATTGGCCCTTAGCTTGCCATGAACCTTTCTCACTCCCCATGGCCCTCTGTAGTTTCTGCTTCCTCCCACCACCAAAAACTACCCCACAAAATTTTAAAAGCATGAGCAGCTTCCTAGTTCAAAACCAGTCATAAAACCCAGTATTCCAAGTTTTGCTTCTACTTGAGCAATGTGTGGCTTTTGAACTCTGATTTACATCCAGATTTTAGTGCATATTAAGCATTTTCTCTTTCTTACATGGTAGGGTTTTTTGTAGACTGTATCCAGCTCAATCTTGCTGGTTTCCCTCCCACCCTCCTTTCCTTTAACCAACAAATTTCCCCAGTCCCCAGATGATACATAAAATCGGGAACTTGCTCATCGATCAGAAAATCAGTACTTGCTTCATAGTTTCTCTCTCTCATTTTAGAAGATTTTGATTTCCTCTTCTCGCATCTTTCTATCTGCTCACTCTGTGTCAACAGAGGTGAACTTGGAGTAGAATGTAAGGGGTTTCCAGTGTCTGGTCAAGATTTTTTCCAGTACTGGTCATTTTCCTGGCATTACCAACTTCATCTCAGGAGGCAGTGGCTCCTTAATTCTGGGCTGTGAAAAAGATGTGCTCCATGAATGCAGGAATTTTATCTGCTTTCCTTACAGCACATAGAACAGTGCCTGGCACCTAGTAGGTTCTTAATAAATATTATACAAATTAATGCATACAATCCTGATGAGTTGGAGAGTTTTTAATTCAAATGGTTCATCATTTTTATGATTTATCATGAAAATATATGAAGGCATTTTCATGCTGCAATATTTGACATTTTCAGTGTTCCCATTTTCATCATGAACTCAGATTTAAAAACCAACAAACAAATATATTTCGGCTCAGTCAGGTGAGGAACAGATACTTCTGGAAGAGCCTTTAAGATGGCTGCCCAAGGACATTTCTAAGTTTTACTTAAACATGTGTTGGCTGGTGATGGCAGTACTGGTAAAACTATATTTTGGAAATGTTAATGTCATTAGACTGGTGAATTTGAGAAGCATATAGTCACTTTAGTTATTGAAGTCCATCACCTGTGTTTCCTACCAACACTAGACCTTTTAAATTCAGTGTGCTAAACATATACTTGGTGGCCTGATAGATGGCTGTTGTATCCAAGTCCAATGTACCATTATCATGTCTGATATAACATCAAGAGTTATAAGTATGTATCTAATTGGCACTGAGGTCAGATGGCAGCATATGGAAACATCGCATCACATTGTGTGGCAATGCAATGACACAGGAGTTAGACATGTTAGATATGAGTTCTAAATTTCTCTTCAAAGAATCAATATGTCAGTAGGTTCAATTCTTTGCCTTCTACTTCTAAACTTAACTTCCTCGTAAAGCAATCTTTTCTGATTACCTGCTCCACCCTGACTCATTCCGATTTCCTGCTCGTCATAACCATTTTTCCCACCAAACCACTCACCCCATCACTCTCTTTAAATTAGTCAGTCGGAATTAGTTTAGCCTGTGCTGTCTAACCCTACCCAATAGGGGAACTACACAGCAGCAGGGGCCAAGTGCGTCAGGAATAAACCCCCTTTTCGAAACTCCCTTGTCCGGGTGTGTACTCACCATTGCTCCATCTGTGAGGGCACACCCTTCTATAGAAGTAAACTGCCTTGCTGAGAAGAAATAAAAGAAAATTTTCTATTCGAGTGCTATTTCTTTTGTGGCACCAAAACTTTATTTATAACAGGCAGATAGTGAGGGTGCAGAAGTGCTTGGTAAGGTTTTCCTTTTAATGATGAGCAGCCCCAAATCATTTTTCTTTCTAACAAAGAGCAGCCTGTAAAATCGAGTTGTAGCCATAGGTGCTGGCAGTTGTGCCAACCATGTTCAAAATGGCAGCTCCATCTTGCCTTCTCTGCCACCCACGTGCACAGTAAGGAGCAGACAAGATGGCCCTGGCCAAGGGGTAAGTTCATGTGCATAATAAGATTAGGGTGAGGCAGCCAGCCTTCCCCAGTGCCCTATGTAAATGTCATACCTGATTAAACCAATCTCTGAGTCCTAAGTAAATCAAACACTGCCTCTCCAAGCCAGACTATAAAATCCGGCGGATCCACCACCAGCAGGCTGCCTTTTACCCTCAGAACTCTCCTCTCTGTCACTAGAGAGCTGTTTTCCTTTCTCTTGCCTATTAAACCTCTGCTCCTAAATTTTCCTGGCACAAGATGACGAAACCTGGGTATTTACCCTAGACGATGTAGCTGCTTCAGTAATGGATAGTAAAGACAGGAAAATTAAGGCAAAATGTATTGTCTTCCAATGAAACAAATATCACCAGTACTGTGACATTTCTGCCAGAAGCAACGGTAACTTTGACAGGCCTTTTCATTGGCTTGCTGGAAAACTAACTGGCAATGCCGACTAGAAGTGGCTTGCTGTGTTTGTTCTGGTCCTACCAGAGTTTGTCATGGATCTGCCTCTGGAAACTCATGAAGCACATGACTTAGTGCAGCTCTGACAACTGTTCTCCTGAGGGGAATGATACCCTGCGAGAGAAGGTGAAGTCGGAAGCCTACTTTCATAGATGCTGGTTCTCTGATGTCTGAGATGCAGCGTTTGCCACTTTATTATATGGCCAACCAGACTGTGAGCTCAAACTTCAGGATGCTAAAGGGAATGAATATGGCAGTTTAAAAAAAAAAAAAAACTTTATATTTTAGACCTCCAAAATTAGCTGTTTAGACCCCAGTTGTTTCCTTCCTGAGTTTCAAATGCAAGAATGCTATAGTCACAACACACACAGACACAAAATCACTGGGTTTCGATTTTTCTTCTGGAATTGGGACATACATGAGTGAATAAAATATCCCTGGGAAAAACTCTAAATATCCAATGAACTAGTAAATCAAGATATAACAACACATTATTAAAATTTTAAAATACATAAAAATACTGTAGTAAACTGATAAAAAGCAGAATACAAATTAAATATACATATAGTCACAATTATAGTTCAAAATTAAAAACTCAGCCAGGCACAGTGGCTCATGTCTGTAATCCCAGCACTTAAACCTAATGGGAAATATATTTTAAACAGTTAACGTGGGATTATGAGTAGTTTCCTTCTTCTGTGCATGTGTGTATTTAATTTGACAACATTTTATTGTAATGAAGGAAAAGTAAACTGAATTGGCTAAAAATCATCAAGCATTAAAAATTCCTTGAAAATTAAAGGAAGCATAAAAATAGCATATGATCATTAGATTACTGGGAAATATTTATAAGACATTGATGTATCATTTATCTACATTATGAAAAACAATTACATGACAAACTCATCATTTTAAGATGATTCTGTATCAAATGGGATTTCAAAATATGGCTTTCAGTACTTCTCAAAACTTTCAAGATCATCGGAAACAAGGGAAGTCTGAGAAACTCTCAGTTTCAAACCAACACAATTGTGCAATACAGTTCATATCCTCTTTTGGTTTATTTCTCTAATAAGAGCCCATTATTTCTGTGTCTTTGGCCATAGCTGTGTAAAACTAATTAATAATTTTGTTGGGTATATTTACTACTCTAACCATCCTCCCCCAAATATTTTCTCAGTCTGAATTAAGGCAATTATTTTATTGGGAAAAAATAGTTCTAATAGCTGGCTCACTGTCCCTGGCCTGATTATTATAAGCTATTTACTGAAATCAAATGCTATTGGCTATGTGCTGGCTGTGTCACAGTGTTCAAATTTTTGTCTTCTATTTGCATCTATTTTTGCAAGAGAAAACAATTATTCTAGTCTATATTTAAAAACTAACTCAATATACCCAATATATTTTATGCAAAGCTCTCTTCAGTACATAAATTTTTAAACTCTCTGTCCTTGTTTCCTACACTGTTTTTCCTTCCATTCACTCATTTATTCCACAGGTATTTTTATTTCAGAGCAGTTTGAAATTTACAGGAAAAAACTGCAGTTGATAGAGTTCCCACACATCCTACAGCCCATTTTCTCTATTACGGACATCTTACACTGGTATGGTGTATTAGTTATAATTCATAAATTAATGCTGATAAATTACTAACTAAAGTTTATACTTAATTCATATTTATTTAGTTTGTTTTTAACAAAATATCATTTTTCTATTCCAGGATCCCAACTAGAATACGACATTGCATTTAATCATAATATCTCCTTAGGTTCCTCTTGGCTGTGACAGTTTCTCAAGACTTCCCTTGTTTTTGATGATCTTGAAAGTTTTGAGAAGTACTGAACAGGTATTTTGTAGAATTTTCCTCCCTTGGGATTTGTCTGATTTTTTTTTTTTTTTTAATTTCGTAACTAGACTGTGGTTGTGTGTTTTAAGGAGGAATATCACAGAAGCGAAGTGCAATTCTCATCATGTCATATCAAGAGCACACACTAACAACATGACTTATTGCTGAATATTGAACTTGATCACCTGGCTGAGGTAGTGTTTGCCAGATTTCTCTGTAAAGGTACTGTTTTTCCCTCCATTCTATACTGTACTCCTTCAAAAGAAATCACCAACCACAGTTCATACTTAAGGAGTGGGGAAGTTAAGATCTATTTATTTGAGGACAAAATATCTACATAATTATTTGGATTCTTCTGCATGGGAGATTTGTCTACTCTCACCAATTTACTAATTCACTCAACTATTTATATCCATATGGATTAATGGATACTCATTTTATACTTTTGGTTATAATCTAATACCACTTTACTTATTTTGTTGCTCAAATTGCTGTGGCTTTGGCCAGTGGGGGCCCTTTCAGTTGGTTCTGGTGTCCCTTTGCTAAGCCCTCATCCTTGTGTGGAGTTGTTGTATTTTTTTTGAGCACTTCCTTATTTTTTTGGTACTAAAGGATATTCCAGGATCATCACAGATACATTCTGCCCCAGTCTTAGAATCAGCCCATTTTCCAAGGAGCCCAACTCCATTTATTCAAGAAAGGTGTTAAAATCAAATCTGGGCGCTAGATGTGCTTGTTACTCCTAGGATGTTGTTGCTTCCAGACCCTTTCAGTTGAGAGAGTAAGGAAATCTACATGTATATTAACATATTTATAAACATTTCTATATGTAACTATGTTATGCTGAACATGAGTTTATAAGGGTGTTTTCAATTCTAATTTATTAGAATGCTTTTAGTTCTAATCTGGCCTCTTCCCCTTGCTTACCTGTAAACTCTCACCCCAGTAGTAAGAAGCCTAGATGTTTCCATTTACTTAATTGTTCAACTCCAAAATAGATGTGTAGTGGTATCAGAATTGTTATACCTTACACAGGCATTTATTTTTGAGTGGAGTTTTTGGTAGTCAATCAATTGCCTGAATCTGGGCTAAATATATGTATTTTAAAATCATCTGCATTTGTTAAATTTCATAATCTCTACCTCATAATTTAAACATTCCTATGAATACAAACAGATAATTAAAGATCGTTTGCAACTGGAAAACGTAATTTTAACACTGTCTTCCTACCCCATTTTAAATATGATGAAACTTGAGTTCAAAGAATTACATACTCAAGGTCACACATGAGTAACAGTTATAGCATGTTGTCATTTGAAAGATATCTATGTTAAAATGGTAGCACACCAGTTATACCTGATCCACCATCTTTAAATTTCCTTTAAAAGACCATAAAAATACATATAAAAAATACAATTAAAAAATACGAATAGAAATTGTAAAACATTGGACAAAGAAATGCCCTAGACTTTTCTTTACCTATGCAGATAGACCAGAAGAAGATAAGAAAACCTAAATGCCCTAGACTTTTCTTTCCCTATGCAGATAGACCAGAAGAAGATAAGAAAATATTTGGTTTTTCCTCTCTGCTCAACGTAACTCTATAACAAAGGAGCAACAGTGTCTAAAAATATTTTTTTTATATACTTTAAGTTCTAGGGTACATGTGCATAACGTGCAGGTTTGTTACCCAGCAATAAAATTATCAATAAAAAGGTTGAAGGCAGTAAAAAATAAATAGTTAATGAGATGCCTGAATGCAGAGCATAGGGAGAGAAAATGTTAATTGTGACAGAGAAGTTGTTGACATGGAAATTAGAGGATGGATATTTTACCTGTATAAGAAATCAAAACAGGCTGGTCTTGGTGGCTCATGCCTATAATCCCAGTGGTTTGGGAGACTGAGGTGGGAGGATCACATGAGCCCAGGAGTTCAAGAACAGCCTAGGGAAAATAGTAAGACCCTGTCTCTACAACAACAGAAACACTAGCCATGCGAGGCGAGAGGCTGAGGTGGGATGATCATTTGAGATGTCAAGGCTGTAGTGAGCTATGTTCACACCACTGCATTCTAGCCTGGGTGACAGAGCATTTTATGTGTGTCTCAGAAAAAGAAAAATGAGAACAAAGAGAGCAAAGAAAATCACATTTTTCAAGTCCTGAGCAGTGTAACTGAAGTAAAAGATATAGTGACTGAAATTATACTTTACCTATAAAATAATTGACTACCTGGACATGCAAACACACACACACATCCACTAAAAAGCTCCTAGAATGCCTAAGAAACCAGTGCACTTTACTGCAATTACAAAGATAAGGAAGGTGTGATCTTTATTAGTAAAATAATAATCAGTTAGAAAGCACAATGGAAAAGTATTCCAGTGCTGATGATGTTGGGGAACTGCTCACATATTCAAGGGAAATGCACAGATACCAAAGCAGAAAGGACAATAAACAGGAGTCCTCATGGTCAAAAGATTAGCAGATGCAGCTTTCAATGGGAGGAGCAGGTTTTGGACCACACTGCAGCACTTTTCTTCTTTCTGTGCTGCCTTGAGGGAAGGCAGTGGTAATACTAATCACTAACACTTAATGGTTCTTATGAGGTGGACACTGTTGTAAATGCTACATACATATTAATACACTTAGCCTTACTGTAGACTTAACCCTGTAAGTTTAAGAAGCTGGATGAACCCTACACAGGTTTAACCAAAGAAATCCAAATTAAGACACAATGTAATGAAACTTCTGAAAACTAAAGACAAAGAAAAAGTACAGAAAGCAACCAGAGAAAAATGATCTTAGATTTCCCTTACCTACAGGGAAAAAAAGACTATTTGTATGACAGCAAATTAATACTCAAATTATCTTCATTTTGTAGGTGAATAAACTGACACTGGAACATTCAGGAACTTCTTCGTGGTCATGGTCACCCAGCTAGAGTGTGGAAGCCAGGCTGTCTGATTCCACGATCTGTGTTCTTAATCCTATGCATAAGGAAGCCATAATGAGGCAACCACTATTTTTAAGATTCACAGATGTTCGGGCCCAATTCACCAGAATGCCAAGTTATACAGAGTTGTGGAATCAAAACTGCAATTAGTAATAAAATGTGATGCTCTCTGGAACGTTTTTCATACATATATATGCTTCTTGGGACTCTCTCTGAAGGTTAAGAGAAATTGAGAAACGATGGAGAATTTAAGTGTTTTAGATCCTACATACATTAGACTTAAAAATAGTAACTATATACATGAGTATTTATAAACTTAAGAATGAACATAACATGAACCATGTGGCACCTATAAAATGAAAATAAAATACCTACAAACCAACTGAGAGCAATAAAAGAAGCTTTAAGGACTTTCACTTCAGCAAGTCTGAATTAGATGCGCTCCTTCCCATTCCTCCCCCTAATTACAACAAGCTTGGACGTTACATACAGAACAAACAGAAGGAGGCTCTGAAAGATGAAGAGAAGGCAAGTAGCTACAGACTTCACAACGTAAGGAATAATATGGTGGTGAATTACATTTGTGATGTTTTTTTGTCTCATATCCCATAATATCTCATATCTCATAATCAGTTAGAAAGCACAGTGAAAAAGTATTCCAAGGCCAATGGTGTTAGAGAACTGCTCACAAATTCAACAGAAATGCACAGATACCAAAGCAGAAAGGACAATAAACAAGAGTGTTCATGGTCAAAAGATTAGAAGATGCAGCTTTCAATGGGAAGGGTAGGTTCTGGGCCACACTGCAGTGCTTTTCTGCTTTCTGTGCTTTCCCACTCTAGAAGCTGAAGAAGATAACCCCAAAATGTCAATATATGTAGACCAAAAACCAGGCCCAATAAAAGTCTGCTCTCTCTAGCCAAAGGACTACAGTAGGGCAGCCCAGCAAGACAGAAAACCTTCAGACAACCTACCCCAGCCAAACACTAACAAAAAAAGTAAAAGGAAAAAGTGAGCCACCACCCACTCCATATCAGTAAAAACTAAGTGGAAAGTCTAGACTTTCACCTCAAGATGTTGCAACAAGCTACTCCAATACCCCTGCCGGGATAGTGTCACAGAAGGCTAAGTAAGGACCTGTGTTGTTGATTCCCCTCCAGAAGTAAAGAGTCCATACCTGCTATTTTAAGAGAGACCACATGGAAAGCCTAGATTTCAACACCTACCCAGCCTTAATGCTGTATTCTTTCCCTTCTTTACTGTTTGGTATCAAAGCAGCTCAGTGCAGAGTCAGAATGTTTGGCATTACTCTTCAGTAATGAGGCCACCTCCACCATGGTGGTAGTGGAGACCATGTGAGGACCAGGACTTGTACCCTGCGCAGAAGTAATGAGTAGACCCCTCTACAGGAAAGCTGAGGGGGAACCTAAACTTCTACCTCTCTCTGGCAGTAATAAAGTAGGAACTCACTTCCCCCTGCTGAGCAATAACAGAAAAAGCCAGCTGAAGTAAAAGCTTATTTCTTTCTTTATGTATATATGTTTTTGGAGATCGAGTCTTATTCTGTCAGCTAGGCTGGAGTGCAGTGGAATAATCAGGGCTTACTGCAGCCTCAACCTCCTGGGCTCAAGCAGTCCTTCCACCTCAGCCTCCCGAGTAGCTAGGACCACAGGTGTGCACCACCACACATTGCTAACATTAAGCTTTTTTCTAGAGATGGGGTCTTCCTATGTTGCCCAGGCTGGTCTGAAACTCCTGGGCTCAAGTGATCCTCCCACCTTGACGTCCCGGAGGGCTGGGATTACAGGTAAGAGTCATCATTCCAGGCTGAAGCTTTATATAATAACCAGAGTCTCATATTACAAAATGTCAAAGATTCAGTGAAAAGTTACTTGTTATGAATGGACAAGATCTCAAACTGAATGACAGAAGATAATTAATAGATGCTAACACTGAGATGACAAAGTTGTTAGAATCATCTGACAAATATTTTAAAGCGGCTATAATAAAAGTGCTACTGCAAGTGATTATAAACATGCTTGAGGCAAATGAAAAAATGCTACAAAGCTCAGTAAATAAATAAGATATATAAAGAAGAATCAAAGGGAAATTATAGAACCAAAAGATACCATAACTGAAATGCAAAGGTCCATGGATGGACTCAACAACAGAATGGAAAAGACAGATGAAAGAAGTAGTTTACAGGAAATTAGAATAGACTAGAAAAATGAGCAAGACCCTGTGATAAAGAGCAAATATTTATGTTATTGAATTCCAGGAAAGAGAAGAGAATG